TCATTACCATTACTCTCATTTCTCATCTAGAATCTGGAGGATTGAGATAAATCTATATCTGCTATGTACGTCAAGGAATATTAGACGTTTTCTTTTACTAATTTGATCTTTTACTTTTTTACTAATTTCTTTTACTAATTTGATCCGAGGGTGTGGAGTTGTGTTATAGAGCTAGCGCCTTTTATCGGAACGACCACATCGAGCGTCATAGACGGGAGATGGTTCTTGATAACTGATCCTCATAAGACAACTAACTCTCACTTATGGCTCCACGTGCCACACCCCGGGAAACTGCATTGGTCTGCAGGCTAAACTAAGTGAGGGTAGGCAGATATGGCAAAAATTCCACCGAGCGATCGCCGGTATAAGCAATATTCCACTTACTAACTAACGGCTTCGGGCGGATGAGTTGGTAGGTGGTAGGGCACTTTTTGGTCCTCCTCCTCCTCCTAAGTGCCTTCTCTATTGAGGTTGGCGATCAATATGGCAAATTTCTCTCTGTTCTGGGCTTGATGGATTAAGTCATTTCCTGTTGTGTGAGTCCAATCTCTGATGTTTCGGAGCCAGGATTTCTTCTTTCTTCCTATACCCCTTTTACCCTCGATTTTGCCTTCTAATATTACCTGGAGCTGCTCAAATTCCTTATGGCGCAATATGTGTACTAGATATGACGTCTTTCTAATTTTGATTGTATTAACCAGATGAGGTCGTGTGTTCATTATTTCCAGTACCTCTTCATTTGTAGTTTTGCTGGTCCAGCTTATTCTTAGCATTCGGTGGTACATCCACATTTCGAATGAATTCAGTTTGTTGACGTCATACTGTTTTAATGTCCAGGTCTCACAGCCATATAGTAGTAGAGACCACACATAACACTTTAGTGTTCTTAACCTTATTGTGATTGATAGCTTGGGATTACAGAGCATTTTACGCATGTTCATGAATCCAGATCTTGCTATTTCAATACGTCTTCTAATTTCTTTTGAATGGTCTAGCTGACTGTTTAGCTCTCTGCCCAGGTATATGAAGCTTTGGGAGCTCTGAAGGGTGATACCATTGATTGGTATGTTGGGTGTAATTTGTTCATGGGGGTTCTTGTGGAATACCATGATTTTGGTTTTGGAAAGATTAATATCCAAACCTAGCCTGTGACTTTCTTCTGATAGTATGTTCATCAATATTTTTAGTTGGTCTTCTGTTTCTGCTAATACTACGGTGTCATCGGCATATCTTACATTGTTAATGATGATTCCATTGACTCTGGCACCTTCAGGGCGATCTTCAAGATAGCTCTGATGATATTTTCGGCATAGACATTAAATAGAAGAGGGGACAGAATGCACCATTGACGCACTCCTCGTTCTTTGTTTACATAATTGGTATTGCCGTTGTCTGTTTGAACACATCCTGTGTGGTTCCAGTATGTATTGCTTATTATAGCTATGTCGTGTCCGTCCAGCACTACTTCTTTAGCACCTCAATCAAATTAATCAATTTTGTCCTGGGGTTGAGAAATTGACCTCAAAGGCGGATAAACCTATATATGGTCAACGGCATAAGGATGTAGAAGGCAACGGGAAACAACTACATTAAAGATCGTCAAATTTCCCTAGACTAATGACCATGCAAAGCACAACCACACAATTGGCACCCAGTCCGTGGCAGACCTTAGATGGTCAGGGGGTGCTAAGAATCCCCACGAAGAAGGCTAGGACCCACCCGAAAGTGGAAAGATTTAAAAATAAACAAATCATACAAATTGAAACCTGGAATGTCAATAGCATGTTTGAATCCGACAAAATCCATAACGCCATCCAAGAAATGAATAGACTTGACATTAGTATCCTTGGCATCAGTAAGATGAGGTGGCCTAATTCAGGAACGATGAAAATTGACAACAAGACAATATACTACTCAGGTAACAATCAAAGACAGCATTAGAATGGAGTTGGTATCATCGTAAGCAAAGGTATAGAAAAATGCATTAAAAACGTGGTCTACCACTCGGATCGTATGCTACTTCTACAATTACATGGAAGTCCAATCGATATCAATATTATACAGGTATATGCTCCAATAACTGATAAACCCGACACTAAAATTGAAGAGTTCTACGGAGACCTACAAGGACTAATGCAGCTTACAAAAAAGCATGAAATATCGATAATAATGGGAAACCTTAATGCAAAAGTGGGAAAAGGTAGATCTGAGAATATCATTGGAGAACATGGATTAGGTCAGCGAAATGAAAGAGCCGATAGGTTGTTTCAATTTTGCCAAGAACAGGATATTACTATTATGAATACATGGTTCAAATTACCTGCGCGCAAACCATACACATGAAAATTGCCACAAGACAATGAAAAAAATTGTGTCAGAAACCAAATAGATTATATCATGATCAACCAGAGATACCGAAATAGCATACAAAGCGCAAAAACTTACCCTGGTGCAGATGTCCCTTCCGACCACACCTCGCTCGTCGCCAAATTCAAAAACACGCTGAAAAGCATAAAAAGAAAGAAGAGAGAACAGAAATCAGACATGAGCTTACTCAAGGATATAGAAACGAGACAAAAGATATCACAAGAACTTAACCACGAATGTCGAGAACTTAAAAACAGACAAAAGGAAAATGATGTACCAGAAGAGTCCGACAACTTAAACCAAATATGGAAAGAACCTACGACTGTATTTCTAAAGGCGAAGACCACCTTAAATACACGAATCAAAGAGGTAAAAAGCCATGGATAACTAATGAAATATTAGAAATAATGAATGTGAGACGACAACATAAGAACAAAGACTGGAATAAATATAAAGAAATACAAAGACTAATAAGAAAAAAGATGGTGGAAGCAAAAACACATTGGCTTGTAGAAACTTGCGAAGAGATCGAAGACCTCAAGAATAAACATGATAATAGACTTCTCCATAAGAAAATTAAAGAAATGTGTGGGATCAAAAACGTTAGGCAGTGTGGCACAATAACAAGCACGGATGATAGAGTCCTGATCACAATAGAAGAAATAAGCGTTGAACGGCGAACATACATACAAAACCTATTCTCAGACGATAGAACAATAAATATTGATAGAAAAACAAACATCAAAAATAACGACTTGCCCATCTTAACATCAGAAATAAAATACGCCTTAAACAATATGAAAACCGGAAAAGCCTCTGGACCTGACTACGTTCATAGTGAAGTTATACAACTTTTGGAAGAAGACAATTTAGAACTATTATCAAGACTCTTCAACAGTATATACAAGACTGGTACAATTCCACAACATTGGTTAACGTCTACGTTTGTGCCTATACCTACATCAAACTACGCAAAAAATGTAACGACTTTCGATTAATAAGTCTCATGCCTCATATTCTGAAGTTATTTCTCAAAATTATCCACAACAGAATTTACAAAAAACGCGAAGAAGATATGGGTCCGGAACAATTTAGCTTCCGAAACGGTATGTGAACTTGAGAAGCTTTGTTCAGTTTCATTGTTCTCATGCAAAAGTGTCGGAATCAACAAAAAGGTGTCTACTTGTGCTTCATAGATTATGAAAAGGCTTTTGACAATAGAATGCTTGCAAAAAAAATAACCTGAATCCAAACGATATTAATACAATACGTGAACTCAACTGGAACCAAAACGCCTCTGTCAGAACTGAAATGGGTGATACTGCAACCATAAACATCCAAAGAGGAGTTAGACAAGGTTGTATACTATCACAATTATTATTCAACTTGTAGTCAGAGGACATCTTTGCACATGCACTGGATGAAGCACAAAAAGGAATAAAAGTCAATGGAAAAATCGTGAACAATATCAGGTATGCCGATGATATAGTACTGATTGCTGGCAGTAAAGAAGAACTACAAATTCTGTTAACCAAAGTACTGCGTGAAGGAGAACTATACGACCTTAAGGTGAATGTAAAAAAAAACCAAAACAATGGTAATTTCAAAAAAACACACACCAGTTATAAACATACTAGTCAATAAAAATCTAGTTAAACAAATGAAAAAGTTGAAGTATCTAGGCTGTTGGATACATGAAACCTTAGACCAAGGACAAGAGGTTAAATGTAGAATAGAACAGGCAAGAAATACCTTCTTAAAGATGCGACTGTTACTCACTACCCATAATCTTGATTTATACCTACGATACTGCATGATAAAGTGTTATGTATATAGTGTACTATCACACGGCGTGGAAGCTTGGACATTAACAGCCAGCTCATTACGACGTTTAGAGAGCTTTGAGGTGTGTGTATTTCGTCGTATGCTGAAAATTCCATAGACCGACCGCGTTAGAAATGAAGAAGTTTTAAGGCGTATGAATTAGAGAACGTGAACTCACAGAAATTGGCAAGAAGCGTAAAACGTCTTATCTTGGACACATATTTAGACACGACAGGTATAACTTCCTTCAGCTTATGATAGAAGGGAAAATAGAAGGCAGACGCGGCCCGGGTAGACGACAAATGATCTGGTTGCGCAACATCAAAGATTGGACAGGATTAGACTTTCAAAGTTTAATAAGGAAAGCCCAAAATAGGGAAGACTTTGCAGAGGTTATCGCCAACCTTCACTAAGAAGACGGCACCCAAAGAAGAAGAATTTGATCTGAGCGTCCGTATCAGCCATATTTTCTTCTAATTAAAACATTTTTTTAAGAACGACTCCCAGTGTGTAAGCCGAAACGTCAAATAAAAATTTTGTTGGATAATTCGTGGTTTGTTTTCACAGAGATAAGTACATACATGCTGAGATTCCACAAGGAAACAGTTCCGTAGACTTCTATTCAGCGAGTATAATTAAATTAGTATTACTTACAATGAATGTTCTACAAAATATTAGTGATAATAATCAAAACATTTGTACACAATATGCTCTCTTGCCCAATTCCATGATAGCTACATATTTATTGCAAATGCTACAGATTTGGTTAAGATATATTAATACAAAAGCGATAGAGAAAAACATCCTACCTGTTTTCTGGATAATCTGGTAGTCCTACTACCTTGTATTATAATATCTTGTGCAGAAATATCCATTCTTTGTTCCCATCCACCGTTTTGGTCCCTTTCTTGTTGGTCGATTGTGGTCTGCAGATGGGCTATGCAGGGCGCCGAATCCATGTATATAAAACATAGCGTCACTTTGTGACAGCTTATTTTTCCTCTGTCATCCAGAGCTAATACTATCTGGAAAGGATAAAAAAATGGCATGGAAGAATCACAAGTTTATGGACAAATAAAAACAATTGAAATTCACCTATAAGTGAGTATATTGTAAAATTGAAGAATTAATTTTTTGATAAAAATGCAGTCGGTTTTATCATTTATAATTATCAAATTATCATTTTATTTATAGTAACTTTATCTTTAAATGTATATTCCAAATACGGTTGTTACCCTAACCATAAGTTTCAAACCATTTTCCGTAAGATCTTGTCTCCACTGTTCCAGTTTGTGTTCTAAATTCCTTTTAGTATTTTCTACTAGCACTACATCATCAACTTACATTAAGTATCAGGGAATGTTATCCAATGTTATCCGTGTTATTATATCCAATACAAATGAGAATAAATACAGACTAAGCACTGAGCCCTGGGGTAATCCCACTTTCACATAAAATTTATGAGTCTCACCCACACCTGTTACAATATTAGTTGTCACCCTCTCATACATGTCTCTCACAATCTTTACATATTCATCGGTAACTTCGTTCTTATCGCCATCACAGAATCTCTCGAGGAACTGTAGCATATGCTTTCTCAAAATCAATAAATATCGTATGAGTGGTTGTTTATTTATTCTTGTATTTTTTCATGAGCTGCCATACTACCATTATAAACTAAAATTTACTTCCAAAATGGAAAGAATAACATAATTTATATTGAATGGAATACTAAACACATCTGGTCTGCAAGATATATCAATTTTAATTCATTTAAAAAATAATTATCCTCACCATCTTATTCACCCAATCTTTAAATCTAGAATTCATAGTCATTACGTTAAAACTAATAATTCAGCAAATAATAAACCTAATCCAAGCCCCTATTTAACTTTGCCATAGATAAAAGGTTTATCTAAACAATTTAAATAATTATTTTCCAAATATAATATATAAATAGCACATAATTGATATAACCTTACTTATCTAAACCCAATCTCCTAAAAACTACACTAAAACTCCCCTATCTAAAAACCACACATTGTCTATGACATTCCATATAAAGACTGTCGAGAAGTTTATATTGTTCAAACAAGTCAGCACCTACATTCTAGATTAAATTCGCATACATATGATGAAAAAAATACGACAGCCCTTACCAAACATGAAAAACAACAAGATCACACTTTCAATGTTGAGCAAACTAAAATTTTAAAAGTAGAACAAAAGGGAAATATATAAAATAATATACCTACATCAAATAGTGCCCAAACGCTATAAATGACAAAAAAGATGTGAATTTATTAACTTAAATTTATTTTGCCATTTTTAAACCGACTCTGTACTAAATACCACAAAAACATGAAACAAATTACCTTCCAATAGACCACCAATAAAGAAATTTGTTGATACGTTGACAGTAGAAATGGTAAGTTTTTATCATTTTTTGAAAAATACTATTATAAAAATATTCGATGAATTTTAGATATAATTTTGATAAAGACAAGGAATACCTGTCGAAATGTCAACTCATGACATATAATAAAAGTTATTGAAGTCCTACATTTTATACCAAATCATACAATATTAGTGATACATAAATGAAAATTTTAATCATCTTACATGCCTAGACGATGATTAAGTACCTCTAGATTAGGTGTTTATAATTTGTCTTTGTTTATAATTATGCTATTCATAATACATACCTTATGTCTGAGCAATTGTTTGTTGACGTTAGCCATACACTTTTCAAGATTTCTTTGTAGTTTGAATTTTAAGTACATCGACAAAAATATAGCTGCCGCATTGAGTAACAGCCACCCTATTCCTAAAGCGAAGAGAAGTAGTCCTTGTAGGCCTGAAAAGAGTAAACCCAAAAGAACGATAAACGCGAGAGTTATCCAACAAACAAGAATTCTTTTGTAGCAGACGTTGTATAAAGAGAATCTCACGTCGTTTACTAGTAATTCCAAGGCTTGGACGTATTCTTCTACAGTGAGCTGAAAAAGAAAACAAAAAAATTAACAGATTAATACAAAAATTATTTTATACATAACATATATTTTCTACTCAGAGAAGTTAAAAATATTAAATTAAGTTATATAACAGAATACATTAAACAGCAGAATGATGAAGTTCGATAGCCGATTCACACATAGGGAATTTTATGTTTTGAAAATGACCAGCGTGTTAACTTTCAACGGTATTACGTATTATTTAAATTCATTTTCGTGTCCCGAAATTTGTTTCAAATAGAGTTTGTTAAAACGACTAATAATTATTAAATTGACTTTGTAGAACAGTACAATACTTTTTCAATGGTTCTTCATTTTAAAAGCCTCCAGAAAACCATTAAATTAATATTAACAGTCACATAAACCGGCAAATTTGTCCACATTTTTAGGGGCGTACCAAAAGATGAGAGGACGGCCAAGGGAATATCTATAATATACTTATTGAACAAAAACTAAAAAAATAAAATAAATTGGGAAGCATTTAATGCAGGGATAGTAACTGTGAATCTAAACGTTTACGGACACAAAATATTTATAGGATTTTTTTAAATGAAGAAATTTATTTAAACACTTACTCGTTATCATAACAGTACAGAAGTTTATAAAAAACAAAAATATTTATTAAAAAAAACTACATTTTTATTTTGTATTAGTCTTTACGTATATGTTATAGTTTTTAAGTAATTTTGAAAAAAAGAACTATTTGTTAGAAATTTTAAAAATAGAAGTACAATTTAATATAACTTTTTTCAACAATATTGCATTCTAAACTAGTTAAACTCCTGGATCTAACGAAGAACACTAAAATAAAATGCAATGTAGGCGGGAAACGGTTACTTTTGATTCTGGTGGATATTAGCTTAATTATACTGCCCTTTTTTTCTTAACATATTCGAAGAATCTGGCTCTAATACGGTTCCAATGTAGGTGTACACTTACTTAGTTTACATGCAAATGACTTTTTGTGCTCGTTTTAAAGGTCTTTATGGCCTATAAAAAACTTTAATATCATTACCAATGAAAAATCAACCCATTTCTGGCAATTTAACGTTGAATACATTGATTCAAATATTCGAAAAAAATGTCTCTTTTCATCGACCATATCTTATTTTGTATTGTATCTAGAATAACTTGTTAAAAATGAATCTGATTCTTCTTTTATAAGCTTTATTTTTGTTTTGCATACTTTTTTGATCAAATGCATATTTTTTGAGTTATTCAAGAAAAACCGTTAAAAAACATGACTTTTTTTAATGAAAATTCGCTGTTTTCAACCATAAATAAATCAAACAGTATTAAAAACAATTCCTGAAAAAACTTTAACTTAACTTTAATAATTCCCTATAGTATTCCGTGATTATTTTGAGCAAAAAATGTCCACCTCCGAGAAAAGGTGGCATCCACCCTTGGGACGAAAGCACACATCGATTATATAACTTTTGTTATTTGGGCACTTTCCCATCCACTCACCTAATCACAAGTCAATCGGTTCAGTCCGACAAAATTGGGAGGTGAATAGTGAATAGCCCGAGTGATTGGAGTACATCGATGATTGATAATGGAACTCATAGTATAATTATCAAAATACAAATGTTCCTAGTTTAAACTGGCAAGTATTAACCCATACCTACGATAGCGACCAGTGGCCTATAAAAATAAGAAATAATAATTCCACAAAAACAATTATAAATTTTTCAGAAAAATGGAAAACTAAAGATGCAAATTGGATAGCTTACCAAAAATATATTGAAGACTACCTACCCAATTTTGGAACAATAGGAGATAATATTAATGTTGTTACAGACAAATTTAACTCAATGTTAACAGAGGTAGCCACAAATATTATGGGCAAAACAGCAAAATGAAAACGTAAACATTCAGTACCGTGGTGAAACAAACAATGTGAAGAGGTACTTAAACAAAGTAAGCATGCATTTAATATAATAAAAAAACATACACTGGAGAACATAACACACATAACACCTTTAAAAAAATATAGAGCCTACGCAAGGTACGTAATTAAGAAAAGTAAACGTGAATCATGGCAAAATTATGTTTCCACAACAACCGAAAATACTCCTGCATCAGAGATCTGGAATAAAATCGGATTATGAATGAATATAAAAAATAGGATTAAAGGCATTTCATACAGCAATAAAATTAACTCTATTGACATTGAGGGAAACTTAATTACAAACAACAGTCAAATAGCCAACGCTTTAGCGAACTCATTTCAGACATATTCTAGTGATTTCGTACATGACCCATTATTTGTCGAAAACAAAAAGAAAATAGAAAAAGAGGTCAAAATTACAGACTCTGTCAGTCCGCTAAATGTTGCAATAAGTATGCAAGAACTAAACGAAGCACTACAAGGACTTAAAAACTCTAGCCCTGGACCAGATGAAATTCCAAATTGTTTTTTTAATTAATCTTCCTTTAGCTGCTAAACATCTACTCTTAGATATATTCAATTTTTTATTTTCTACTAAACAATTTCCTAAATCCTGGAGTATCGCTACAATAATTCCTCTTTTGAAACCTAACAAAAACAAGTCAAACCCGGAATCTTATAGACCAATATCCTGAACATCTGCCTTATGTAAATTACTAGAAAATTTTTTAAATAGGCGGTTACAATTCTTTTTAGAATCAAAAAATCTAATGGTTAATCAGCAAAGCGGCTTTAGGAAAAATAGAAGCACAACTGACAATTTAGTGTCGCTAGAATTGGCAGTTAATGAGGCATTTACAACTGATCGACAAGTTATAAAAGTCTTCTTTGATATAATTAAAGCTTATGATACTATATGAAAATATGACGTTATTGTTAAATTACAGCATCGGGGCATAGATGGAAATTTTCTAGCATTCGTCAAACATTTTCTGGATGACAGAAATTTCCGAGTTAAATCAAATCAGAAACTTTCAGAATACTATACACAAGAAAATGGCATACCCCAAGGATCTACACTAAGCGCAACACTCTTTTTAGTTGCAATTAACGATATCGAGAACAGTATCCGAAACCCTGTTAAAGCAATTCTATATGCAGATGACCTCGTAATCTATATTTCTCATAAGAATATTAATATGGCATCAAACATTATTCAACTTTCTATTAATTCCCTACAAGAACGGTCTAAAACAAAAGGATTGAAATTTTCTACGGTTAAAACCAAAGTAATGGGCTTTTCTCGAAAACATCAAATTGTTGCAAATTTTCCAAAATTAACACTGTATGATCAAGTTTTAGAAAACGTTGAGGAACTTTTCTAGGTATGATTTTTTATTCAAAACTTACTTGAAACAAACACATTCAATTACTTAAAAAATCATGTTTACAGAACATAAATATTCTTAAAGTACTAGCAAATCATAACTGGGGCGCAGTAAATTAGATTATGGATAAATTGTAGATAATCCAGCTAAGGACTTAACATTAAAAAATTAGATATTGTATAAAATACCGCACTAAGACTACCTCTAGGAGCGTACAGAACCAGTCCAGTTGAAAGTCTTTATGTCGAAGCAAATGAATCTCCACTTTCTATTAGAAGATTACGTCTCAGTTTACAATACGCAAGCAAGCTATCAACTAATCCAAACAACCCAGCCTACCCCTATGCTTTTTCCACACATTACCATTCTAATTACAATCAAAATCCTAATCTTCGACCATCATTTAGCAAAAGAATTAACAACTTCACATTTCCGGGTATTACGCATACCAATATTGATTATGCTCCCCCTTGGACTATACAAATTCCATATTGCAACACAGATCTGTCAACTTATACTAAGGACAATACCCCTTCATCTCTTTTTCTCCAATAGTTCTACAATATTAAAAATAAATATTCATCCTGTCAACTAGTTTATACCGATGCATCAAAAACACCCGAATTGGAAACAGTAGGATCCGCCATCGTCACATCGTCTGTGCTCAAGTTTCCACTACCTAAGGACTACTCAATGTATTCTGCTTAACTTTTTGCGATATCCAAGGCAGTACAACAAACTCTTAATCGACCTGAAGACATAACAGTAATATTCACAGATTCCTTAAGTGCAATCCAGGGAATTCAGAAAATATACCCGGATCATCCGATTTTAGAACAGATTAAAAAAGACCTTGCGACTCTACAAAATAATAATAAACAACTACATATTGTGTGGATACCATCTCACGTGGGAATACCAGGAAATGAGCTAGCTGATCAAATGGCCAAAGAAGCTTGTAAAATGCAGAGATCCGATGATAGAACTAACCAAATTCCTCACTCGGATATAAAAAAATGTATCAATAAGTACACAAAAAACTTAAGGTTACGAAGATGGCAACTCTTACCAAATAATAACAATTGATAGATTACAATAATAATCGATGGTAGAATGCGTCTACCACATTTTTTGATGATTGTCTACAAGTTAGTCGAGATTCATCGATATTTCGTTGCCTTAGTTCTGCAAGACTTGCTGGTTTAGTTTTGTAAACTGAATTTTTCAAGTATCCCCAATAAAAATTATCTTTAGGATTGAAATCAGGTGAACGTGGAGACCATTCAATTCTATCTCGTCTACCAATCCATCGTCCGAGAAATAACTCTTCTAAATAACGCCGAACATTTACACCAAATTTTGTAAAATTATGACAAGCAATTTACAATTTACGAATTACGAATTTACTAGATAGATACCGATCAGTTAGACCGAAAAGAGTTATGAATCATCACAAAACTAGATATAATGCAAAGTTTTGTTGAAAATCCACATACATCCTCACGCAGGGTTGCACAAGTACATGATGTAGGTTGTTCTTCAGTCTTACGTGTATTACATAAGAATATTTTTAAACGATACAAAATTAACTTATTGTAAGAATTAAGTGAAGATGACTTCGATCATTGATTAGAGTTTACTGAGGTAATGATGGATAAAATGGACAAGGATAAAAATTTCGTTAACATAATAGGTTTTTCCGATGAAGCAACCTTTACACTGTGTGGAAGTGTAAATTGACACAATTTAAGGTATTAAAGTGACGTAAATCCACACTGGATGCATGAAAACCAAACTCAAAGACCACAAAAATTAAATGTATGGCCAGGTATAGTAGGTAGGGTAGACTGGGGCTAGTTGTGCCACTTTGGACAAAATAATTTTTAACATTTTTTTCGTAATTTTTAGGGCTGTTAGATTACTTTAATGAGGTACTATTTTTAATTGGGAATCATTATTTGGGAACATCAGCAATTTTTAAGCAATACCTTACAGTATGTAAATAGTTTTACAAAATGCACATATTGTCACAATTTGCCCCAATATGGGGTAAGTTGTGACGAACTTGGGGCAGGTTGTGACAGTAAATATTTTTAAATATAATAAACTTTAGTTGGAGAATAATAACAAAGTTTCCATAATAAATTTATTTTATAGTTAAGTATAGATACATAAATGTTTGATAAATGTTTATGTAAGAAACAAATGTGTAGAAAAACATCTAGTGAATTTAAAGTAAAATAAAAAACTTAATCGCTATCGTCAATTTGTGCTGATTCTACTTGTAGTTCTGAAGAGTGGCAGTTTATACAAACATAATAAAGATCATCTTTTGTGCACTTTACATGAGCCCACCTCTTGCATTCCATACATTGCACCCAGTCTTCTCCTAACCTAGACTTTTTATATGGTCCCATACAAACTAAGCAAAAGTAATCTTCTTCCTCTTCTTCTGAGCTGTCTTCTCTTTTTCTTGTTGCGGTCTCTTTCTTTGGCGCTGCTTTTTTCTTAGGCAACAGTTGTTTTGAGTCAAATAATTTTTTTCTTTATTTTATCCTCTTTGCACTTTATTGTTTCCTTCCTCTTTAACTCTTCACTGCGAATTGTCTCCTTGACAGGTGTGCTAGTCAAAATTGCAGATGTTAAGCTCTTGCGTTTTTTATTTTTTCGAGGACCAGCTTTTGGCAGAGGTCTTATATCCATAGGGCTGACAGGCAGAACTTCGGCATGGAATGATCCTGGTAGGTTGGCCTGCGATGATCCTTGTTGATATGGTCCTGGTTGATAGGTATGGGAGGGTCCTGGCTGGTTAGCATAATATGACGACGGTTCAGGTTCATCGAGATGCTGAAACTCTTTAAGCTGCCCAACACTGGCTTCCTCATTACCATCTACGATGTCAATAGGCCTATTCAAAGGTCGGTCGGTCACCGAAGAACACAGAAAGTCTTCTTCATTAAAAATGTTTCTATTGAATTCCCATATTCCTGTAGAACGAAATCCTGCCTGAACATTTGTTGGTGTTACAGCTTTAGGTAATGCTGTTTTCACTATACTTGGGATGTCATAAATTGAGACTGTGTTTCCAGGATGAGATTTCATCCATCCACACATGGCGTCGTTTAAAAACTTCTTAAATGGACCAAAAACGGAAACATCCAGTGGTTGAAGTCTATTTGTTGTATGGGGAGGGAACGATAAGAGAGTAATACCGTGCTCTGTACAATAGTCAAGGACTTCGATATATAGGTGAGCACTGTGGTTGTCTAACAGAACTAAAACCGGTGATTTCTTTGAGCACCTTACTTTTTTTACAAAATGCTTCATAAAAAACAAAAAGTCCGGGCCTGTTATCCAGCCACTTGGGTTAGCAGTACCACAACAACCTACTGGCCCATCACGTACAAAATGCTCCTTGTAAAACTTACGTGGAAAAACGAACATAGGAGGAACTGAGTTACCCTCTGCGTTAATAGCAAGAACCATAGTAACATTGGTCCCCCTCTCAGCTGAAGTGACACCACCAACTCTTTTCTCGCCTTTCTTCGCTATGATTTTTACCGGTTTTTGGACAGTCCCAGTCCCTGTCTCGTCTATATTCCAAATATCATTAGCTGTAAAATGGTTTTGACTTAATACTAATTCGAGGTTATCAAAAAAGAGTCCGACATTGTGCTTGTTGAAACTTGTACTCCGACTTAAGCTGGTAGCCTCAGGAACACGAATAGACACTATTATTGTTACGTTGCATGAACTTTGTAAACCAATCATTACTGGCGTGTTTTGTTGCTACCCAATTCTCAGGCACAAGAACTTTGTTCGCTATAGCAAATTCAAAAGCTAAACTTTTCATTTCTTTTGGGCTAATACCATAAAATATTTTCGCTGCCTAAACAGCATATTCACAGAGCTCTTCTTCTTGTTGTTGTGAAAATATCATTCGAGGTCTTTTGTAACCCATTTCTACCACTCCATCTGGATTGGTTTGTTGTTTTTTTATATATCTAAGTAAGGACATCCGGTTAACGCCATATTTTTCAGCTGCTTGCCTTAAACTACACGATCCAGACTTAACATCTAACGAAGCCGACTCGTAACTGTTTATATTACTCCGACCACGTTCCGTTTTCCTTTTATAATTTCTCACCATTATCTGTAACAAACCCATTAACATGCATTAAAATTAGTAGGGGCATGTTGTGACACTGTCACAATCTGCCCCAAGCCTTTCGTCACAACTAGCCCCACCGTACGCCATTTTACATAAAGCCACTTGCACAGACCTTGACACGTCGTATAGAAACCAAACTGTGTCTTACTAGAGAGAAATAAACAAACTATCTACTACAACTAGAATAAGTTTCTTACCTTGTGGTTTGAAAGTGAAATAACAATTCAAAGACAACAGCAAAATTTTAGTTCGTTACAACGAAATGACATATAATTTTATAAAGCGGCAGAAACGCATAGCATCACAACCAAACTACACAAACAGACTGAGGACATGCGGACGTGGAATTCTAGGTAACCGGGCGACGCTGCTACCTATGGTTAGTCTATAAAACTATTTGTCACAACATGCCCCTGTCACAACTAGCCCCGATCTACCCTACTCAGTTAATTAGGCCATTTCTAATCGAAGGAAATTTAACTTCAGATAGTTACGAAATGTTACTTAGAAATGAAATTGTACCTACACTGATAAACTTGTTTGGTGCCAATTTTAATTAGATGTGGGCAAGATGGAGCTCCAGCTCATTTTGGAGTAAATGCTCGGGGTTATTTATAAGAGATATTTCCTGGACGATGGATCGGTAAACGAGGTAGAATTGAATGGTCTCCACGTTCATCTGGTTCAAACCTGAAGATTATTTTTATTGGGATACTTAAAAAATTCAGTTTACAAAACTAAACCAGCAAGTCTTGCTGATCTAAGGCAACGAAAAATCCATGAATCTCGAATAAATTCTAGACAATCATGGAAAAATGTGGTAGACGCATTCTACCATCGATTAGGGTACTGTCAACTCACAAATAGAGCACATTTTGAACACTTGATAAAGTAACCATTGTGTTAAAAAATGTTGTAATCTATCAATTGTTACGTTTTAATGTAGTTAAAAATAGTTAGCATTAAAAAATTTATTGAGACAATTAGGCGTTGCCAGACTTCTGTTTTATGTATTTAAGACCTTCCACACTACATAAAATCATAAGTGTTACATATGATTGAACTCGTATTGACAAGGAAATTCCAATAATGACTGAATATACAGGGTGATGAATTTGAAAAACCAAAGTTAATCTCCGTATCCCACAATAGGTGTACCTCAAATTTTGTATAATTATGTCTGGTAATTTACGAGATAATTGGCCGTTTCCAGACTTTTGGGTCACTCTGTATTATAGTCGATATTGTACCACCGCTAATAACCTTCTATGGTTGATGCGGGTTATTCCCAATAAAAAAAAATACACATGTGCTACTACACAATTACAAATGTATTATTTTGTTTTTGCGTAATGAATGATACCAAAAAATAAAGAAGTACTTACTGTTAGACCTTGAGCCATAAGCTCTTCAGGCACTAATTCTGGACGGAATTGAGCTGGAGTAATCCATGGTAGTTTAGTATTCACAGGTAATAGGGTAACGATAATATCACCATTAGCTGTAATAAAAGTTTTTTTATTGCATATAAATAAGATAACGGTAATAAAGTAAAATAGAAGTAATAAAACTCAGGGTTTCAATTTTTGATTTTTAAGTTTCTTTTAAGTTTTCTTTTTCGGAAAATCCTTTATAGACACTGCCTATTATATCAAATTAGATACAGCCATTTTGTTCTCAGATATTCGTCATTATGTATGTATTATCTTTCCGTTTACTACGAGCCATATCAGTTTCGGTACAACCCGTATAAGTTTCGCTACAATCCAAGTGAACCGTCTTATAAAGGCGAAAACATTAACATTACCATTGTAAATCTATCTTTTTAATTGAATATTGAATATCTCTTAGTTTATCGATCTTAGTTTTAATTACTTTATTTTATTGTAAAGGACGTTAGTATTAATTTTATTTATGAACTTTATTGTTTTTTTCTTATTTAAAGAGACAAAGTCGCATCCACCCAAAGGTTATTAGCGACATTATTAATTATTGAACATTTGTAACAATTATTTAAGTTAAATTGTGTGTAACATATTTATACATTTTAAATAACCTAATAAATTGTTCGGAACTAAACTTTTGTTGAGGAGTGCTTTCAGGTTATTTGGCAAATTGTAAGACTGTCTTTGATTTACATATTTAGGATAGTCTATCAAGAAGTGCTTTATACTGTCTACTATATTGCATGTTTCGCATTTTGGAGGTTCACTATTTGAGAAGAGATAGACATGAGTATACCTACAGTGTCCAAGTCATAGACGTGTCATATTAGTTTGGCATCTTCTACTTCTGGCTGTAGACTTCCATGAAAAAATGTCACTTTTGATGGTTCTGAGTTTCGAACGAGAGTCATCCTACTCCGAATTCCACGCACTTAACACCTTATTTTTGAAATAAACTTTTAAACCAGATGGACTGACGACCTGAAGCGTGTTAGCAGTAACTGGATGTAAGCCGCACAAAACAGAAACAGGTGGAAAGAAACAGGAAATAAAGAGGAAAATGAGGGAGACCTACAGTACTGTGCAAATTAATGGATTCATAGGCAGTTTTAATGAAAAACCAGTTTATTTAGAAAAAAATTATATTTTGACAAAACTATAAAGGCAAACTTACACCATTTAGTAGGAAATATGTCCCCTTTTGTTTGCAATTACTGCTTTTATCCGTTTTGGCATAGATTCTACGAACTTCTGACAGTTCCCATATATTCATTTATCTCGAAACCAAACCTGAATCACCGATTATTTTCTATCATTTTTATTTTTGTAGTACAGTCGATTTTGCGCAGTCTAGCGTTGCAAATGGCTCACAAAAATTCAATAGGGTTGACGTCTGGCTAATTACCGGGCCAATATAAAACATTAATCTTCTTATTACTGAAGAATTCCATCATTTGCTTTAACTTGTGACAGGAAGCAGACTCCTATTGAAGAATCGCACCTCCTTATAGCTGACATTTTTGGAGTTCTGTGTCCAAACGCTGTTCCAACATGGATTTGTATTTTTGGCTATTTATCTTGCCTTCGATTGGTAGCAAAGATCCAACCCCCATATATGAAAAACATAAACAAAACATTTTGTGACTGGATGTTTTACGGTTTGATCAATATGAGATGGCGTAAGGTTTTCATTGTCAGACTTCCTGACGAATTTCGACCGCTGTCCCTGTCGACTATAAAGTGAAACCGTGTCGACTATAAAGTGAAAAAGTTTCGACCTGTTTCCTGTCGACTATAAAGTGAATTTCATCTGTAAATAGGACTTTTCTTCAGTCGTCAACAGTTCAATTAGAGTATTTTTGTCCCACAATAGCCTTTGTTTCTTCATTATTTCAGCTAGAAGCTGTTTTTTCTGTGAACGCATTGCCCTTCTACCATTCTCCAAAAGTCTTTTCCAAACAGTTGAGTCACGAATCACTACACCGTATGCTGCTAGATCTTGTTGGAGCTCTTGGCTTGTTTAGGTCTTTATCTTAGGGCCATTTTGCTTTTTAGAAATGAAAATCTATCATATGCTGGTATGGTTTTTCTCTTTCTTCCCATTTTCCTAACCTTTTTACATTCATTGATCTCGTTTCTCGTTTAAGCTTCAAAATCTTGCTTAATATACCCTGACTCATTCCTCACGTTCTTGCGATTTCTCTTTGTGACAGAAGTGTGTTCACTTAACGTGATAATCTTTTCACGCTTTTTAGGCGTAATATCCATGATGGAATTAAACGAAACAAACTACTCACTAAATACCGAAAACAACGCAAACTTGCGGCCTAAAACACCCTCAAATAAAAGGCAGATAGACATTTTTTTCGATGAGCACGAGACGTAATTAATAAAAATACTATACGATATCGATTATTTCACGTGCAAATATTTTTAACTATTGATTATGCAAAAAATGTAGGTCGCCATAGGTCAACTATTTAAATAAATCTTTATATACATGTATAAAACTGCATAATTTTAACGTTGGGTTTATTTATATAAGTAAAAATATTATTTTGTGTCCTTGAGTAACCACTGAGCTATTTATATGATGGAATTTAAAAAAAAATACACTTGGCACTTAAAATCTATTCCAACATTATTTTGGAAGATTATAATCTCATTAGTGGAACTTTAGACCCACAGACACAAGTTCGTGTATTTATATTACAAGGATTATTTACATAATGCAGACACATTGTCTACTGGGAAAGCCGATTTTTATGCGTTTTCATTCATGTAAACATTCTCAAGGTTTCAGTCAATTGATGTAATATACAAAATAATTACAGTAGACTTTTTATCATAAATTCGATGAGTTTGTTATGCACTAACTTGTAGACCAGAAAAAATAAGCAAATAAAAAGCATTTTTCGTGACATTCTTTGATACAGGTATCTAAAAACGGCTTTTAATAAATTTGGTGATAACAATGTGTAATAAACAAAATATGCAAGTGATTAAACGTTATTTTTTACTTATAAAAAATATAGGTATAAACAATGTAATGCTCCAGTGAATTCCAAAACCTATTGCATGAAATTTTAGTTTTGAGTTTTGGCAACAAATGTGAGGCATTGTAATATGCTAAAAAACGCTGGATTTAAACTTTAATGTAAAACAGTAAATTCTGCGTTTTTATCATATTTCAAATGCATCATATTTGCTACCATAACTCAAAATTGAAATTTCATAGTTTTTAAAAATTTATCTCTAAAAATGGAAATATTACTACAACTGGTCAATGAAAGTGATCAATTTTATTGATCTCGCGAAAATCGTAAAAATGGCAAAAATCGCGGTACGTTAATTTATTTAGCACCTACACACATTTAACACCTATAAGAAAGTTGTACTCTTTGCCTTTAAAACGCATCGTGACTTTTTTTGTCGATGGGACATTTGGATAAAAAATATCGAATTTTTACCGTCAAGCTGATACATATTTTATTGAACATTGATTTCGCGCGCGTAACTGATAAACATTTTTTTTTTAATTATCTCAGCTACCTATTTGTAACAATCAAGAATATTGTAAACAATAAGTGGAAACAAGAATATTATGAATATAGTCAACACTCTAAATCTCGATATGCACTCATACAACCTTCAATCCCGAGTGAATTTTGGTTTAAAAATTACTCTGTTCCACGTGGATACATTACAACTATTATCAGAATGAAATCAGGACACACACATCCAGCTCATTTGGCAAAACTTAAAATTGTAAATTCCAATGTATGCGAAGTTTGTCAAAAAGAAGCAGATTTAAACCACATTTTCTTTGAATGTACAAAATATATACAACAAACTGACGACTTTATAAAAAATTGAATCAAACAAAATCCTTCCACCCTATGACATTTGTTACTTTTTGTTATTAAATAACAAAATTGTATATAACTACTTAACAGAATTTATTTCGCAAACTAACCTCATTTTGTAAGTCCAGTTAAAAAAATAGTAACCTTTGTTTAAAAGTGGTAAACTTTTTTGCTTCTGTTTTGGGGTCCCAAAATTAATATTTTCTGCAAAATTCGGCTTATTTGTATGATATTTAGGGGTCAACTTTCTGACAACTGGACTAAAGTCGCTATTTGATTTTAAATACTAAAGGTGAAGACCGGTAAATTATATGGACAAGTAACACAAATTTATTGAAAAACTTTGTAAAAATAGTTTTGTTAATTTTTCGTTAATTTGTTGCTTAATTATGGCCAAATGGCTTCAAAAGTGGATTTTGGATTTTTTTTGGAAATTAATGCCAACTTTTCTAAAAATGCACAAAAAACTTTAATTTTGCGTGATAATAGGGACAATATCACATGTAAGGTAAATAACCAGTCATTGCCACCATAAGAAAGTTAAAGCTAAAAACACATAAAGCCAAAAAACCAATAATTGCCACACAATTTTTCAAAATACCAATTATTGCCACCCAGTCATTGCCATACAGAAATAACTCTCCATTTTACTGAAAAATCTTGTTTATTAATAAAAATTCCACAGGTTTGAGGCCTCAAATACATCCACTGGCAAAGTAAATTTATAACGGATCTGTTCACCAGTGGATAAAATAATAGGGGTCGGCGGTATGCCTAAAACACGATTTTCGTTAACGAAGTAGATGTATTTTTCATCACAAATAAAAATGTTCTTTTCAGCACTAACAGATTTCATAGACATTACTTGTACATCATTATTGTCCATAAGGTCTTGGATAATACAAACATACATGTATGTTATGGATTTTTTTTACCACCTAGGAATTTCACAAGTACATAGTTTCCCACACTAAGTTCTCCGTGAGTTAATGGGCAAACTTCTTTGTTAGGGTCATCACAAAAGTCATCATAGCTGCTACCACTCTCGACCCATTCTTCATCCTTTCCATCGTCATCAGAAATATCCCATTTTAGCATCTCTTTCAATAGACATTCTTGCTCTCTTGCAATTTTTCTTTGGTTTTTTCTTCTTCTTTCTTTTTTTTTTTCATTTTATTTTTTCAAGTGAT